CTTCTAAGATGCTTTTTCTGTATCTTTGGCTTCCTTTGGTTTCTCTCTGATTTGTCTAAACGTGGACTTCATTTCCCTGCAGGGCCCTGCACCTTCGGTGGAAAGCGGACCTTGGCGATCAGCTTGGGTGTTTAGCCGATGAGGTGGCCCAGCCAGGGGTGGAAGGCATGGCTTGAGCAGACAGTGTGGGGGGAGAGAGGGGAAACTGAGGCAGGAACTGTTGGGGGAAAGGCGTGCCAAGGCTTCCCAGGAGGCTCCAGAAGCTGGAAGTGGCTTCAGAGGGAGCAGACCCTGCTGACCCCTTTCTTTTAGGCGTCCAGCCTCGAGCTGGTGAGAGAACAAATTTCTGTTGTTTGAAGCCACCAAGTTTGTGGCACTTTGCATAGCAGCCTCTCAGTGATTCAGGAAAAGTTACAGCCATTCTCTCTTTAAATTTTTTGCTTTTTTTCCCCTTTTGTTCTGTGAGGGAGAAGTAACTAGGTTTATTTATTTATATTTGGAGGAGGGACTGGGGATGGAACCCAGGACCTTGTGCCTGCTAAGCGCACACTTTACCCCTGAGCTCTACCCTCCCCCTCTTAATTTTTTTTATTTTTAACTTAAAAATATTTTTTATTTTTTAATTTATTTTTAATTTTTAAAGTTTTAATTGAGTTATATAGTCAGTTGACGATGCTGTGTCAATTTCTGGTGCACAGCACAGTGCTTCGGTCATACGTGAACATCCATACATTCATTTTCATATTCTTTTCCACCGTGAGCCACCACAAGATCTTGTATATATTTCCCTGTGCTCTACAGTGTAATCCTGTTTATCTATTCTATATACACCTGTCAGTATGTACAGATCTGAACTCCCGGTTTATCGCTTCCCACCCCCGGCCCGACCCTGCCGCCTGTTTGAATGTTAATCCAGCCTCACGGTCTCTGCCTTTGCTGCTCAGCCTCTAATGAGACCCCAGTTCTTCTCAGCGACCCCAGCACCTCTCTGCTCCTCCGGCCCTCGTGCTGTTTATTTTTATCCCCTGTGCCCCTCGAAATAACCTCTCCCTCACCAGTTTATAAACTCTGCCTTTAGCTGTGTCGAATTGGCTGTTAAAACGACCCACTGGGTTTTCCATTTTGGTTATTTTACTTTATTTTTTAAAAAATTCTCGAGTCCTTGGTGGGGACTGTTTCCTTTTCCCCGCACACATCCGTAAGTCTGTCTGGAAGCTTTCAGCACCGTCACCGGAAGCTTTGACCGTTTCTGTGTGATCATCCAGGCCCACAAGTCTTTGCCCCCTTCTCTGCCCCAGCGTGCTCCTGCCGGTTCTCCGTCCTGGGCTCCAGTCTCCACGTCTGCCGGGTTGGCTCTGTCTGCATCACTTGCAGAAATAACAGGGGGTAACGGATGATTGGCGCCTAAGGGTGTTTGGGGTCACGAGGAACCTAAAAACCACATGGCACCAAATTCAAACCTTTAAATAAGCCGGGGTCACCACCTGATGCGAATCTGCGCTCTGCTTCCCCTGGGACCCGTGCCGTGGCTCGCTGCCACTCCCAGGAGGTGGCCCTTCGGGGTTCCAACTTATTGTGGGGAGCTCCTGTAAGACCCCCCACCCCAGCCGCCACCTGCTGTGAGCCTGGGGCGCAGACTCCAGCTCCTGTGCTCCACGAAACCTTAAAAAATTAAAGCTCGAATCCCTGTGCAGGAAATGTTTCAGGTAAAGAGCAGATCTGAGGGCGGGTGACCCACCTGGGTTCCCACTTCCTCTGCCATTCAGATCTGGCGGCTCCTTGCTGTCGGGACTCTTTGCTGCTTCCAAGAACATTGACTCTTAACTATGCACCAGGCTTTTTAATGTTTTGTTTTGTTTTGAGCAGCAGAGCGAGTCCAAATTCCCCGGAGGAGGCCCCTCGGGCAGCCCCGCTGTGGACGCGGATGCCACGTGGGTACCAAGCAAAATTGTTGCTGGAGCTGCGAAGGGTGTTTGCTCAGAACCTTCCCACCCCCACCGGCAGCAGGCGTGAACATAAATCGTTAAGTCAAAGGGTCCAGAGATAAGAAAGGGTGACACAGACAGGAGCCCAGGTGGAAACAGCTGGGAGCAAGGTGGGGGATGACGCTGACCTCCGATAGACCGAATCTCATCAGATGCTGATGTGGTTACATATTAAATGACACACCCACCGCTGGCCGGACCGGACCTTAAGGGCCGAGACAGGATAACCAGCAGGTGGGGTGGCCCCTCACTCCTTTGAAAAAGCCCTGCCCCTCCGCATCCTCAGCCTCACTCCTCTGCCCTCGGCTTCCACTCTTTACAATTAAATCCCTCTCGCCACGTGGGCGAGAGGTTGTCCGGGAACTTGGTCCTCACTCCAGCCTTGGCCGCTGAATAAAGCTCGTGCTGTTTCCATCTCAGCTTCACTTCCGTCATTTGGCTGCTGGGGCCGGGATGGAGAAAGGACCTCCCCTGCGGAGGCAGAGAGACTTGGCCGGGCCAGGGACCCTGGAGGGTCCATATAGGATTTAATTCATCACTCTGGGGAAAGCGAGCATCCGCTGTCCGGCCACCCGGCCCCTCTGCACCTTCCTGCTTTGGTTGCCCTGACAGCCATGATGTCACCGAGCCGTGGGGACACTGCGGTGGGAGCTGCTTCGTCCACATCACAGCGTGGGAGCCGGCGGTCCCCAGCCGGGCGGGCTCGTTGCTGAAGGACACGCAGTGTTGGGGGCGAGAACTCCTGCCCGGTTCCCAAGCCCCCCGCCTCTCGCTCACCTGTGAGTCTCCCACGGCCCTGGGTGTCCCTGGAGGCCCCAGTGGCAGATGGTGGGGAGCATCCTGGTGTCCGGTGGCCCACGGCTGTCCCCTCACTGCCTGGCTTCTGAGCTGCTTATCCACCCCTTGTCCGAGTCCCTTCTCAGCTGACCCGATGCCACCGCCTTGCTGCCCTCCATCCTGGGCTCGGCCAGCCGTGCCCCTGGCTGCAGACCTGTCCCGGATGGCAATTCCACCCTTCCTCCCGGCCTTCCCATCACTGCAGCTCGGAGGCTCCCCAGCTGCCCCCTCTGCCCCCAGTTGCCCATCAGCCATTGACTAATCAGATCCTTCTGGAACTTTCTCCCTGGGGTGACCTGTCTCAAGGCTGAGCAGGGCAGAGGGAGGGCTACGGGTGGGCAGACCTGATCCAGAAATGCAAGCGCCATCCATCCGGATTCGGTCAGAAGGGCGAACCCACATTCCCGGGCTCACTGTCCATCCTGGGGTCCCCCCTGGGGCAGTGATGCAGCTTTTAAGAGTGGACTGCTTAGTAAATAGGGTGCTGCTGTAAAAAGCACCGTGTCCCTGCCAGCGGGTCTGCTACAGGCGTCGGGAAGTGATGTGGCCCAGGAAGACCGGGAACAGCCACCCCGGGCAGGAGACCGCAGGGCTGACCGGAGGCCGCGGGCCAGGACCGGGGGAGGCACCGCTTCACTCCCGACCCTTCTGAGCCCCCTCTCGCCTCCTGGAAGCCTGGGGGTCACTCTGCTGGTACCTCGGATGCTACGGCGGGGTTCCTGCCAACGGGAGGCAGAGAAGAGGTGGGGAACATTCCCGACTGGACACAGGAAACCCAGGCTCCCATCCTGCTTCCTGAGATGCGTTTACTGACGTCTCATCTGCCCCCAGCAACGAGGGAGAGCACGGAATTTATTTCTAAACTGGGACGCTCTGCAGGGCTGGGTTTTGCAGTGGGTGGGGCGGCGGGGTGGGTGCTGTGTGTCCCCGGCGAGGCGTAAGGGGAGTAGGACCACGGGCCCTCGGGACCCATCAGCGACTTGGTGGCAGTGGGGAGGGTCCAACGGGCGTGGGAACAGGGATTTAACTCTGTAGGGACAGGGAGCAAAGAAGGGTTGACTTAACCAAGAGAACAATGCAATCAGGCTGCTGCATCTCCATGGATCACGGTTGCCTCGCCTGGAAAACAGTGCCTCCGGCCAGCCAGGTAGCCGGAGAGCCCCCCAGAACAACGGTGAAGCTCTCTGCCGAATGATGCCAAAGTGGGTGCCACACCCCACACCACAACCCGACACCCAAGCTTCAGCCCGGCTTGGGGTGCAGCCCCTAATGTTAATTCAACAAACCACGGATTCAGTATAAAGTTGGTCCCGTCCCGTGTGAGCAGTAATGAGCTAGGATTGGGGCGTGCACTCGGTTGGACCACTTTTCTTGTCCCCAGAGCCCATGTCTGGGCCCCTCAGGTCTGCTGCTCCCCTGGCCTGCTCTCGGAAATGAGGCACCAATTATGTGTGAGGACTTGGGGGCCAGCGGTCGGGGAAACTGCATGACACCCCTCTGCCCCCCATACTTCTGCACTAGCCTCTTTCCTGTTCGTCTACCACACCAGGCAAAATCCTGCCTCAGGACCTTTGCACCTGCTCTTGCCCCTGCCAGCCAGGCGTTCACCCATGGTTTGCGCTCTCATTTCTTTCAGGTTTTCACTCAAATGTCACCGTAGCAAGGGGCCTGTCTTCGCCACCCTCTGCTGCTCCTTATGTGTTCATGATTTTCTCTGAATCACCTAACAGCATCTAAATGGGCTCAATATTTCGTGCACTTGTTTTGTTTATGGTGCAAACGCCACGGAGGCACGAATTCTCCCGTTTTGTCTGCTCTAACCTGGTGCCCCTAAGTACTGATTGGTGGAATAAATGAACTTTTCTTTCTATTCTGGGGACAGGGCATGCAGACAGGCTGCCACCAGAAGTCATGAAATTCACACAAGGGCTACAGTGTCACCTTCTTTTATTTGTGGCACGAAGAGACAAACAGCAGAGACAGTGCGGTTTGAGAGCGACTGGCTGGATGCCCTGGCCACCCCGGGGAGGGTGTGGGGCGTTCCTCGGACCACGCGGGGCCAAGTTTCCACTCTCCTTGTCATACATTCAAAAATGACCTCACCATATTCGTTGCTTCATTTAAGACAGAAACTTGATTTCTTACTTTCTCCTAATTTCTGATAATCTCTTAATGAGCTTCTTTCCAATATAATAAAACGTGAAAAGCCATGACCCTGGTTAACTTCGGTTGTAAATGATGGGGACTGAACCCGCACTGTCAAATGTGAACACGATTTTGATCTGATCCGGGCGACAGGCGGACACCCAACGTCCCCCGCTCCTGGCCCTGCATTGGGTTCCTAAGCGTCTTCGGGGAGCCCCCGGGCTCCGTGCACAGCCACCTCGGGGGCAGGCGTGCTGGACCTCACAGCCCGCGGGGAACAGCTGTCCAAGGGGGGCGCCGGCCGGCCACTGCAACGCCATGCTGATCCCCTGCCACCACCCCTGCCGCAGAGCTCAGCGCTGCCCTGCTCGTGCGTCACACGTGACTCCTCCTCCAAGTGACCACAGGTGACTTTTAATAGCTTAGCTGGTCAGATCATGGTCTGCAACCTTCCATGAAGCCGTGACCCCAAATATTTGAGGAAGAAAAACCAATAATTCCATTAACTCCTTAAAGTCACCTTGGAAAGTATCCTCCCATTTTTTTTTCTCACACGTAGCCAATTACATTCAGATTGTTGCGATCGATTCATTGATTTTTTTTTTCCCCTAGAATTCAAAAGATTTTAAGCGACTAAAGGGTTGTGATCATCTGTACGTGTAAAAGTCTCAAAGGTCCAAAATCGATCTAAGGCGTGAATGGTCCCCTCTGCTTTGTCCATCAGAGGAACTACGTACAGTGTTGGGGTCCCATTCACCGGCCAACAAGAATTGTTTCTTGGCAACTTTCAAGATTCAGAGGCAAAAATATATTTCCTTGGCACAAGCCGCGTGGCAGTCACATTCTCTGTCCCCCTCCCCCGGTGATGGGGGACTGAAAATCAGTGAGGCAGGTTTTGGCCTGGAGACGGGGCAGGCCGGTCCCGAGGCCCCTCGCCCCGCGGGGCTCCTGGGTGGTGACCCGGCGTCCCATGGGCGGGTGTCTGCCGCCACGTCGCCTTCTCGCTGGTTCACACGAGCAGGGGCACCTGCGGGGAAGAGAGAGCCACCGTCACGGGGGCGCGGGTGGGGCCGGTCCTTCCTGGGGACGTTGCTCCTCCCAGACGCTGAGGGTTTACACCGTTCGCATCCTCCTCACAGCCCCGAGGAGAAAGCGCTGAGAAACCCAGACAGCCCTGGGTGCTGGGAAAGAAAGCCTGGAACCCCCCGAGGGTCTCCGATGCGCCCAGCCCAGCCCCCTCTGAGCCTTTCTTGGACAAAAAGAGTTCCCAGCACAGCTCTCGGGGAAAGGCTGTCTGGCTCCCAGTCTTGGGGGTGGGGGTCCTCATCCAGCCTCTCCCCTCACCCCGGCCTGCCCTGGTCTCCCAGCGGCCGGAGGGGGGCTCGGCGGCACGGACCCCGACATCACTGGCCACCCCCTCCACCCCGAGCCCAGCTCTGCTCCCCCCGGGGCAGCCCTCCTTCTGTGCTTAGAGGAGAATTTTTCCTTTTTTAAATAAATCTTTAAAAATCTTTTGCTACCCAACGCCCCATCTCCCAACTGTAAAGTTATCTTTCAGGTCTGATGAGAACTGGGGGGGTGTGTTTACTTCTTGGGGTAACAGGAGCAACCTGGCAAATTGCCCCCGATTTTAAGATGGATGCGATAATGATGAAGGAATAGAGGGGTTCTGTGCACATGGACCCCGAGCTGCGCTCGCCCGGACTGGAGAGCCAGGAAATAATGGAGGCAAAGAAGGGGTGCTTTCTTCCTTCTCCCCAAAAACGGGCACTGAGCACCCGCTCTGTGCCTGGCGCTGAGCGAGGTGCTGGGACCCGCCGGAGCTCGGGGTCCCGGGCTGTGGCAGGAGAGGCACGCATCACACCGAAGTGACACCGATGTCAGAGCGGGGATGTGATTATGCAGGGAAGTGAGGTGACACTGTGACAGGGACCGGGGCTGGGGGAGAATTTCTGCGGGAGTGAGCTTAATATAGCAGCAGGCAGGGAGACTGGGAAGTAGCTGGTGAAACACAGGGAACAGCCTTCCAGGAATGTGGAACAGCATCTGTGGAGGCCCTGAGGGGTCACCGCAATGGGTGGCCTCTCGTCCCAGGTGACAGGTGACAGGTGTCCCTGGGTGCAGCTGCAGAAAGGCAGGTCCCCTGGTAGAGGGCAGGACACAGGCCAGCGAGGGCAGACCAGACCCTGTGCCCCTGACCTAGTCCAGTGTAACCGGCCCGCATCAAAGGTCCAGCCGTTCGAGCCCAGCGTGTGATGTCCAGCTGTGGACGGTTTTGACGTCCCCGCCCGCAGTCACAGAACTTGGGTTTCTCTCGCCCACAAGTGAGGGCCCTCGGGCTCCAGAGGACGGACGTTTGCCGCTGGCTCCGGGCCTCCCGGGGCCCTTGTGGTGATGGTGTCACGTGTCTGCCACCAGCAAGGGCAGGGACCCACGTGTGGCCCGAATCGGTTGGTTCCCGTGGTGGGAAAATGTGCGCCTGTGAGGGCCCCGGGGCAGCGGGGAGGCCGTGGGGATGGATGAGGCCTTTCCCAGGGCCCGGCCGCCCGTGGCGGGCCCAGCCGCCGCCCTGACCTAGTTAAGGCCTGGGACAGGTCACTGTGGACACCTGCGCCCCGCTTCCCGGTCTGCGAAATGGAAGGCGCAGCCTTCGAGTCCAGGAAGGGGATGGAGGAGATGCCCACTCATCGTTTGGGGCTTTTATCAGACATCTAGTTTTGCGAGACGTACCCAAGGCCAGCGACAAACTCCATACTCCCGTCTCCCTCCCCTGGCCGAGAGCCTCGGGGGCCACATGCAACACTCCATCCGTCTCTCCATCAGGAGCATCTCCTGCAGTCCCTGGACCCTGGTGGGTTCTCAAGAAATGCTTGCAGGCTGATGGCTGGACACGTGAATGTTCTGGATGTAAAAATGGATCAAAGGACCCCAGGTGTCCACCCCAGGCCCCCTGAAATAATGCATTTAAATCAGACCGACAGAGGCTGTCAGACGCAGGAAGTCTCAGCACTGATGTGACAGCAGAAGCGAATGCTGGGGGTGGGGGGAGTCCCTCTGGGCCCCCCGTTCAGGAAGAGAGGGCTGTGTTCACTGCAGGGGGAGCAGCCGACAGAGCGGGGCGCTTAGCCGGGACTCAGGTTGCTGGGAGAGTCCGGGACCAGCGCAGAGCCAGAGGCGGAGGGATTCGGTTCGCGGAACAAGGCACATGGTCAGCCCATCGCCTTGAAGAGCGAACGGCAGACACATTTTTAAGGTGATGATTCGTCCTGCATCAAATGTACGCTTTTGGATTTTATCATAAGCAGCACTGTCGCCTGTGCAAAACTTGCGTGTTAAAGGAATGTTTCAGCCGTGAGCCCCGCACGCCCCAAAGCCCGCCTAGGATGGCCGGACGCCCTGGTTAAAAACTGGGGGCCTCACGCATCGCAGCCCCGAGAAAGGCAGCAGCCCCGCTGGGACCCAGGGTCCCCCCGGCCACACGCGTCCTGGAGCCCGTGGGCAGAGAAAGGAGGGTCCGCTCACGCCGACAGCCCAGCTCACCCTCGGTGGAGCCCGGAGCCCTACTTTCATGGTGTTTTCCTCAAGGCTTGGCAGCTTTGAAAGCCGCAAAGGCGAGAGAGCGCAAAAGAGGCAAAGCGCAAAAGATCGGAGGTGCAGATGCCACAGCGCGCAGCGGGTGCGTCTGCCCCAAAGCCACCAGGCACCTCCTGGGACGGAAGCCACGCCCAGCGGGGAAGGGCCACCCAATCAGGCTTCTCAGAGGAGGACGCAGTTGGCCCTTATTGGCGGGATGTGTCCCGGGGCCCCAGGCCGACGGCCCCACCCCGCCAGGAACGGTCACGCGCAGCCACTCATCCTCACCTTTCTCAGCCTCGCGGCCCCGGTGCCGGAGCGGATGGCGGCCAGCAGGGCCTGCCTGGCATCCCCGGGGCTGCTCGGGGGGCCCGAGCTGGCCCTGGACGCCGTCCGGGATGTGATGGGGGTCTGGGTGGCCGGAGGGGGCGGCGGCGGCGGCGGCGGGGCGGCCGGGAACTGGACCCCGAGGTCTTCGGGCCCCGGGGGTCCCGACCCGTGTGCGGACAGCACGGCATCACGGAAGCTCTGGAGCTCCTCGGAGGCGGAGGAGGACACCTGGCGATGAGACGGTCACAGGGCAGCGTCCCAGAGGTCCTTCCCCAGAGGGCAGCGGGGTGCCAGACCCTGAGCAAGCCGAGCGCTGCCCCGGGGCTCCCCCAGGCCCTCCGCGGGGCCGGGGACGATGGCGCGGGGCAGGTCCTGCCCCGCCGGGATGCCCCTCTCCGGCCTCAGCGTGGCATGCCTGCACATCCAACACCCAACCGATGGGGACGGTCCCTACCCCCGACCCGAGGAGAGGGCGCCCACCCCGCTCTTCTTTGGAACCTGGTTGTGGAAGCTAGGTGACACCCCGGCCCTGAGCTCCAACCCGGCTGGTCCCGAGGCTGCACCCGACCAGCTGGCAGCCGCATTCGCAGAGCTGCGAGGCTGCGGACTCCCGCCGCTGGGGGATCTAAGCCCTGAAGCTGGGCTGGGCGTCCCCGGGAATCTGGGGACATGCACAGTGAGCGCTGGGTGTGCGGGCAGGAAGGGAGGGAGAGTTTCTGCAGCGTCTCGCCCATCGTGGGGTTGGCCACTCCGATGATGAGTGGGCAGCACTCAGAAAACCTGAGCGCTGCCCGGCGTGCGCAGCATCCCCCGGTCCCCGGGCCCCTCTCCCACCTTCCGCAGGCCGCAGGCGCCTCTGTGTCCTCGGATGGCCGCCAGCAGGGCCGAGCGCTCGCTGTCCGCCTCCGCGTGGGACGGGGTCTTTGGCCCCTGCTGCGGGCTGTGTTCTGCAACCTGGAGTATAAACCGGGTCATTTCAGCACATTGCGCTCGGGAGGTGGGGAGACCCTGACGGGAAGGCAGTGCTAAAGGAAACCCGCATTCACCAGTGCGACGTGATCAAATGAAGATTCTGCAGGGACCTCCCCAAAATCAAAGGTCGTGTGTCTAGGGTATCACTGGATGATCGCCTCGTAATGCCCAGCCCGCCTGTCATCGGTCCCGGCTCTCCGGAGCTGAGACGTGCATTTCAGTCCTGCAGATCCAGATCAGAGTCCTAGGTCCGCACTGACTGGCAGGGTGACCTTGCGCCAGGTCACTGGACCTCACGGTGCCTCAGTTTTCCCATCTGCAAAATGGAGGACCTACTTCCTAATCTTCGGTGTTGGTGCCGCTATGAAATGAGATATATTTGTAAGGTGATAAATGTCTCCATGAGGCCGTCATCAAATTGTCCCTAAGGCTGTTGGAGGATGACAGCCCACCAGGGCTAAAATCGCAGGGATCTCGGGTGCAGCCTGCCTGACTGTCCACTTACCATCCCCCCGCCGCCACGGGCAAGGACCAGCTATGGACAATCTTCCCCCGCCTCTCCGCTCCCCCAGGGTGCGGCATCCTCCCCCGGGGCGGTCAGGGGCCGGAAGGCAGTGTGGACCAGCCCAGACGCATCACTTGTGGTCTCCCTGGTGGCTCTAAGCGAACAACTCCGCAGGCAGTGAGACGGGGTCCGGGGTCAAATGGACCCCGTGGGCCCACCCTCACTCCCAGCCCGCCTTCCCTCCTCCGGGACCACCTAAGCGATGGCGTGGCTGGGGTGGTGGGGGGGTGTGCCCGTCCGGGAGGCAGGAGCCCACCGACCTCACCTTGCGAAGCCTGTCCTTCCCTCCTGCCGAATGGATGGCCTCCATCAGGGCGCTGTGCAGGGACGTGTCCTTCGGGGCTGGCCTCTGGACGACGGGTCTGAATCTCTTCTTGGGCCCAAAGATGCTGGCTGGCTGCGTGCCATCGGCTTCAAGTGCATCCGTGCTTAACAAATGGGGCTTCTCCTCCCGCCCCAGGGACTCCCGTCCGGCATGGCCGTTCGTGCCGGTCTCCCTCGGGGAGTGAGGCGGCTCGCCAGGGACCGGGACCCACCTGGAGCCATTCACCAGGGCCGGGCCTGGAGTCTGGTCATCTCCTGAGCAAGGGGGCGGGGGACTCGTGGTGTCCGGCGTGCACCTGGGGTCAGATGCCGAGCGGGTCCTCTGGTTCCTTGAGCTTTGTCTTTGACTGAGACCACAGCTCCGTCCCGGGGGACCCTGATCCCTCGGGGAAGCTGTGACTAGCGGGACATGGGAACTTCTGAGGACGCCAGCCGGACAGTCTTGAGTAGAGGACCTTCCGTAAGGGCTGCCGGCGTGCGCCCCGGGATGGGCCCCCACTGCCGACCCTTCCCCATCGTTTCCGACGCGCGTCTCCAGGTGGACTTTCTGGGTCCCTATGCGCTTAGCAATGGCAGAGGCCATGTACTGACTGGACGTCCTTCTCTGGGGTTTGAGAAAACGGACTTCCGCGGTGTTAGTGGTGGTGACTTTCTCAGGACGAGGGGCTGCCGTGGGTGGCCCGCTTCTCTGCTCCTCCAGGGCTCCCCCATCTTCTGGGTGCAGCGGGGGCACCGTCCCCTTGGGGTCTGGGGACGTGGGCTCTGCTCGGGGTCTGCCCTCTTGCGGTTGTGGTTTTGCTGGCGTGGAGGGGGTGGGGGTCCTCTTGGCTGAGCCCCCTGCGGGCTGGCCCAAGGGTTCCTCTGTAGAGTTGGACCTCCAGAATTCTTTGACTTTTCCAATGGGTTGGGGTTCCGCTTCAAGAGTGGGTGCCCCCGGGACTATGGTCCGGCCCGCGGGCGCCTGGGGGCTCACCAAGTTCCCCAGCTCGTCAATCTTGATGGCCCCCGTCGAGAGGGATGCTCCTCTGTCATAACACCTCATCTCTGACTTCGGGGGGACAATTTTATATGTTGTGAGGCCATATTTAAGGCCATAACTCCCCCCGGGGTGCTGGCCTCGTTGGTACCAGGACGGTGGGGTTGAGACATCACTGTTGGCATCGCCTTCAGTCTCCCTGATGGTGGCGGGTGGCGTCCCTCTGGGAGCAGAACCACGTACCTCGCCCTCCTTTGCATCCAGGGCAGTGTGTGCAGCGCTGGGGCCGAGGTCGTCTGGGGCTCCGTTTTGTTCGGATTCACATCCTTCCAGGTGCTGGACGCGGCTGGCTTGGTTTCTTTCCCAGCATCCTCGGATGGAGACGGGGGGTCGGGGGTGGCCGCCCTCCCCGTCCCGGGCTGCTGGCCGGGCGCAGCCTGGCACGGCGGCAGGGGGGCCTTCGTGCTGTGCGTGCTCCCCGTATCAGAAGAGCCGGCATTGTTGTTCCTGTTGGAGAACAGCCCCGCGTCCACGGGGTCGTCTAACACCTCCCCGATGAACGTGACCGGAATTGGCTCCTCATCGCCGTCGAGGATGGCGGCGTCCCGCGGGCAGCCGTGCGCGGAGTTGGAGAGCACGCTCCCATCTTCCGTTTCTGCAAAGGAGGGCAGCACAGGTCACAGGCCGCCCGTCCGACCCCTACGCTGCTCCCTCCGTGACGCCGCACCCGGCTTTGCTGTCCCTGAGGCTACTTCGGTCTCAGTTACCTGCGCCCATTTTAAAGGGTCATTTTGGGTTGTGATGTACGCGTGCCTGGGGCCGGTCTCAACTCCCATTAGCCCAGCAGAGGACCCGCTTGCAGATCCGTGATGTCTCGAGATGACAACAGTTTGCCAACCTCTTTTACGTTAAAATTTGGGGTTTTGACCTTTATCTTGCTCTTGTGCACCAGAAGCAGCACAAACTCTATGGGACAACCGGCTGTCACCTCACTTAAGGGGCAGGCGACTTAGTCTCAAGCACCCCAGAATTAGCCCCAAAGGAGGCAGCGGGTCACGTGGGCAGAGCCCGAGGGACACAGAACGACCGATGCCGATTTTTCAGGTCGGTCACCCACCTCTTCAGAGGACGGACAACTCAAGAGCGGGTCAGACAAGCCTACGGGTCCCCTCCGCAGCACGTCCCCATCTTCTCGCTCAGTTTTGTCTCCCGGGCACGGCCAGTATCAAATTTTATTTCCACTGTGTGCCTTTGTTCGGAAGATTTCTAGATGATTTAGATTTGCTTTGTCCTCACACTATTTTTTTTTCCCAAACAGACGCACGCAACAGCAGTGCCACGGACGCCCCTCTGTAAAAGGGGTCACTGCCAAGACGTGGTCGTTTGCAAGACAGACCACGGATTTGCAAGGAAAGGGCGGGGTGGGGGCGGAGAGGCGTCGTAAAGAAACTCATCCATCTCCTGGTGTTTCCCTCACTCATCTGAGTCCTGGGGAACTTCCCTGTTACTGCGTGAAGAACACTTTTTTCATGTGCAAAATCAGTATTGTTCAGAGCTGGTTTTAAGCAGCTGCTCGGATGTTTCCACGGGAGAGTCTGGACTCTCCAAGCTGGCTCCCCCCACCCGGACCTGCGTGCCCCCTGCAGACATTGCCCTCCCGTGGTCACACAAGGCGTGTCTGGGACCCCTGCCGGCTCTTACCTTCCAGCTCTTCCTCGGGCTCGGCCAGCGTGTCCTGGGGCCACCTGCTCACACGCAGGTCTTCGTGCTCACGGGAGGCGGCTGTCTCACTCCTGGGGATGGCCAAGGGGAGAGGAAGAGCACTCATTTACCTCCTTAGGTATCCAGTCCACGCCTCTCTGAGGAAAGCACGCTCAGGGTCAAGTTCCTGCAGTCCCAAAGTCCCCGGGCCACAGTGGTGGTTTTCCCTTGGAGCCCTGAGACACAGATGTGTGTGGTGTGCGTGTGATGTGTGTGGTGTGTCTGTGGCGTGTGGTGCACAGCGAAGCCCACCGTGACAGCAACACCACGCAGGCAATGACAGTGGTGACAGCCCTCTCGCCCCGAGCCCCCTCTGGGACGTGACTGGATGGGGGGCACCCTCTGTGCCATGGGGACCCCGCACACGCCAGGCTTCACACAAGGCGCAGATGATCTTACTTTAAGCCTCAGGAGCCATTTGTACGGCGGGTGAGGTCACTCTCGGTGACCACGTGCTGAGAGACGGATCCTGGAGCTACCAAAGCCACACGGGCTCCCAGACCCGGAGCAGGAGGACCTGCCTCTCGTGCATCCACCCTTGGAGGGCAGAGGGTGTCCCCTTATCTGTGCCGCCCGGACAGCAGCATCCATGGGACCACGGCTGCCAGAGTGATCTGCAAGCGGCCTTTGCGAGGGCCCTGGGCTCCCTTCTCTCGCCGTGCGGAGGACAGGGACACGTCGCGGGCGACAGTCCGTCTGCGGTGAAAGCTGGAGGCAGGTCCCTTCCGCTGATTGTCAAAACCGAGGACCAATTTCCACCGTTACTCATCAGGCCCAGATAACGAAATGTGCATGAAGTGTGCTTTGTGCCGTCCCCACTTACGCAGCAAAGTTTGTGTCCCCATAAATGAGTCTTTTTTAACTCGGTGCCTGTGTCCCTTTGAGAGCCAGGAAGTGGCCTCCAGATCAGTTTGGGCTAATGTCCCCTGACAAGGCAGACAAAGGGCGCCGGCGGAGATGTGTGCGCATGGGAACCAATTAACGAGGACCAAGGGAGGCAGCAGGCTCCTTTCCTGTCGCGTTTGCCTTAGACTTTAATTGAACGCATTGACTGAACGTGGTTTTTGTCTCTTTCACGGAATGCGATGGTTAAAATAAATGTAATCGAAATATTCTATAAAGTATATGGCAGAAAAACAGATGGAAAGCACTCTATAAATCAGTACTTAAAATGGGAATCTGCTCTTTTCAAATGCTGGCCCCTAGTTTATGACGCTTAAAATCTAGCCAAACAAAATCATATCTATCATTTTATTTCAAAGCATTTGCCTTTCCTTCAAAGTCTGCAAAACTACCTCGTTCCGTGAGAACAGAATGACGTGAACCAGAATTCAGAACTAATTAAAAAGTTCCACTAGTGGTGGTATTTTATAAATGCTAAACTAGAAAAAACAAAGTTTTCTTCCCAAGCTGGCGAAAACACCATGATGGACCCTCACGGTTGCTGCTACTGGTTTTAACTGGAGACCAACATGAACGTGCCCGTCAAGAAGCAGACACATGGCTTTAACTTGGTAGGATCTTTGGTTTCCTAGTCGCTCTTTTCGACAAGTGGCCTTAGGGAAATAATCCTACAGAAGGGAAAGTCTAGACACCACCATGATCATATTGATGGGACGAACTCTGCAATTTCCGGCCACGGGGCGTTCCCTCCAACAGTACGTGCTGGTTTCAGAGGGCACAGAGGCCAGCCAACGTGTTGACCACGACGTCCACGTGGAACCACAGATCAGCGCTGGAGCCTGCGTGCTATGTGAAGACATCGAGACCCCTAGGATCTGAAAGTAACTGGCGGAGCGTCTGTGGAGGAAGGCAGACAGATACCCAGACCACAGCACCAACCAGGGTGCTTCGTTGAAATGGATGGATTCCAGCAAATATTTCTCCCTTTCTCCTCTGCATTAGGCTCCTTTTGGTACAAAGCAGCTTGAGGCAACTTTTTTAAAAAATGGGTAACACTGGAAGTAATCCTTTGAGCCTGTAAGGAAGTCATTCTTTTTTTTGGAAAAGTAGTTAACACGCTGGCTATGTCACGCCCAATACACATGGTAGGCGGTGTTTATAATATTTTTTTTCTTGCTGCTGAGCGCCCAGAATGTCCCGGTGACGATCTCACAGTGTGTGTGTGTGACAGTCCTGCAGGAGGCACCGCAGCCAGCCCCTCAGCCTCTCCCTCCACCCGATAAAACCATCAGACGCCAGGCCCCGGGACTCAGGGCTCTGGACCTGTTCCCCGCCCGCCCATCCCACTCCAGCCGGAGCCTTCCTCCTGAAGTCTGGGGGTGCCAGGCTGAGTCCTCTGCCCTCCGCCTGGGCAGCTTCCCCACCGCCCCTTCCCTCCGTCTGCCTCTTGTGTGCTGCCCAGCGGTGGAGCGTGTGCCTAGCACGCACGAGGTCCTGGCTTCCATCCCCAGTGCCTCCCCTAAAAATACATAAATAAATAAATAATCCTATTACCTCCCCCTCCAAAAATAAATAAATTGTACAAAAAATAAGTGTTCTAAAAAAATTAAAAAAAACCAAAACAACAATGGCAATGTATACATTTTGTTTTCTGCTATGAAGCTCTAGGAGGGAGCGATGGAGCATAACTTGCTTTCCCCTCCTCCCCGATGCCATCGCCTTCTTCTCAAAGGGTTGCTAACAGATCGTAACCATTCCTCTCCCCAGAGCCCCCAGTCTGAAGCCCCGGGTCCCTGGGCCTGGAGGGCGGCGTTCCGTGGGCCTCTGCAGGAGATCCTGGTCTGCGTCCCCGAAGTCTCGGCGGGCAGGAGGCACCGCGGCCTCTTTTCAGCTCCAGAGCAGGGAGGCTGGCTGGGTCAGGGCCCAGCAGTACACTGAGATTGGGGTACCACCCTCCCTTCAAGTGGCCTCCCTTGCTGAAGGTGGTTCTGGGGCGTGCATCTCGGCGGCACAGGAGGAGAGATGCTGGCAGGCTGAGTGAGTTCACCATCGGGGCCTCTGCTGGCCCTGCCCGTCGTCTCCTGGGGGTGGGGGGAGTTGAAACTGCACCGTGTTACAATTGCTCTCAGTCACTGTTGCTTTTCTCTGAACAACTCTGCTCCCGTGCCGTGTTCCCGTATGGGGCCTCTGTCCAGGTGGCCGAGGTCAAGGCCACCCCACCGTGAACAGGGGTGGTTCTGCTCTCACAGTGTCAGCTCGACCCGGGGCTGCCATCCATCCCCCAAGTAGAGGTTCTCATCTTGCTGACCCTGCCCCCTGGTTGGTCTGGGCACCTGAAATCAGCTGCTTCATCTCGGATCACTTGAGTTCTGCAGACTTGGTCTCTGGGCGGAGACTGGTCAGTCCTGGCCGTCTGGGCCCACCTGCTCCTGCCCCCTCCAGCCTTCACTGCCTTCGGGCTGCCGAGGCTCTCAACGCCCTCGTCTGCGGACAGGATCACGGCGCACAACCCTGGGATGCACCAGTCACCAAGGACTAGCCACTATATATAAAAATGGATTAAAAAAAAGTTGCTTCTGTCTAGCACAGGAGAACTATGTTCAGTATCTTGCAATAACCGTTAATGAAAAAGAATATGAAAATGAATATATGTCTGTACCTGCATGACTGGGACATGGTGCTGGACACCAGGAACTGACACATTGTAACTGACTATATGTCAATTAAAAAAAAAAAGAACAGTGTATTTTTGGGGTGAGTACAGCTCGGGGTAGAGCACATGCTTAGCATGAATGAGGTCCTGGGTTCCATCCCCAGTCCCTCCTCTAAAAATAAATTCAAAAAATTTAACAAAAGCATTCTATGAGAAAGAAAAATACCATATGATAGCACTTATAAGCAGAATCCAAAAGAAAGACACAGATGAACTTATTTACAAAACAGACACAGACTCATAGTCATAGAAACAAACATGGTTACCAGCAGGGAAGGGGTGGGAAGGGATAAATTGGGAGTCTGAGATTTGCAGATGCTAACTGCCAAATATAAAATAGATAAACAACACGTTTATACTCTAGAGCACAGGGAGGTATACTCAATACCTTGTAATAACCTATAATGGAAAAGAATATGAAAAAGAATTTAAATATGTAAAACCAAATCACTATGCTGTACATCTGAAACTAACACAACATTGTAAATCAACTACACTTCAGTTAAAAAAAAAAAAGGAGCTGAAGTGCGTATCTGCAAAGGCTTTGAGGGTGGCGACAGTGTGGAACAGCGTCTCCCCAGTGGTGCTCAGAGGAAATTTCAGACAGGCTGCTTGGCTGCAGAAGTTCTCAGGGGCTTTATATCTTCCTCGGACAAGAGAAGAATAAAGAACTCCCTGAGTGCATTTGTGAAGGGGTATTTTTCATGGGCGAGATCCCGGAAGACACCCGAGGAATTGTAGGGATGCTCCGAAGCTGGCAAATGAGCTTGGAGAGGAGGATGGGCCGAGGCATCCAGCACTCACCTGGGGTGGGTTCAGTTTGGCTCCTGCAGGTGCGAATTAATGGCCAAGATTGAAAACTTGGGAAGCCTCCCAGAAAAACCTGGATTTCTGGCTTCTCTTCAAAAACCGGCCGCACAGGGTGTGCAATTCCTCAAGGTCGCAGTTGGAAGGAAGCCGCAGGGCTGTGCTCTTTAGAGAAAAGGTGTTTTCCACCACCCTCTGTGGCCTCTGAACCTCTAACCCCTGCTTCACACCATGAGCGGAATTTGTGGGAAATTACGCACTGGGACTTAAAAAAGAAGTGATACAACATGCTGCGGTCTCTGAGCGGGTCAGATCTGTCCACAGAGATAAGTCTCATTTACAAAAACAAAAGCGAACTGCAATCATTCCATGAAAAGCCACGGGCGGAGAGCTGGTCCCAGCCCTGGGCTCAGAGGTCATCGCCATCATCATTCGACGCCCGAGCTGACCGGGGCCCAGAAAGGGCGGGCAATCCGCCCTTAAAATGCACAATGCTCTGTTTCCTGAACGGACAGCGGTGGTTTTGATAATAAGTCCCACCCAGCAGCCGTGCCACAGGCCCCGAGCCACGCACACCGGGTGCTCCCGGACGCCTGCGACAGGTTAAGAGGCGTGATCTGCACTCCAATGAAAGGGTCACAGTTAGGTGGACCCTCGAAGGTGGAGCAAGTGGTCAGCAGTGGTGGGATTCCAAGTGGGTCTGGCAGGTTCCAGAGTCCCCTCCCTCCCCTCCACGCTACCCTGCAGTTCAGTGGCACCCCAGGGACGGGGGCTCAGAAGCACAGCCTGCTCCCGGTTTGCACAAAGCACCAGAGACCCCATGACCATCCTGGCTGTGGTCACAGACAAGAACGCGTCTGCTCAGAAGCCAGCACGATGGGGCCCTGCCCGGGGTCAACACCAGCGAAGCCCTTTCACAGGAGCATCGCTGGGGCCCAGAGGGGAAGATGTCCAGTTCGTTTCAGATGCAGAGTGGGGCGCGTGTGACCCCCGTGCAGACCAGCGGGGCAGCGCTGGGGATTCCTGAGAACCTGCTCATCTTGATGTTTAAATGGACTGTAAAGGAAGAACCGTGGTTTGGGTCTGCAAACAGCACAGGCCAACCCTCCCGCTCAACGCACCCCACGTCTTGCAAAGGCGAAACCGACCAATTGCCACCAACTGATAAAACATGAACTTGGCCTTGGAACTTATCTTTAAATGGAAAAGCTATTCTCTAAGATTAGAATGTGATTCACTCTACGGGTGAAAAAAAATCAGGGGGAGGGTAGAGCTCAGTGGTAGAGTGCACACCTAGCACGCACGAGGTCAAGGGTTCGAGCCCCAGTACATCCATTAAGTGAAAAAAAAAAAACGAACAATAATAAAATAAATAAACCTAATTACCCCCCAAAACAAAAAATCAAAAAAAATCAAAATAAAATATTGACACTTCATTAACCAGAGATTTGGGTGTTCATACGCCCAAAGCTGCGACAAAACTTGAAAAATATAAAGGCATTCATCCATTTTGATGACTTTGAATATTTTTTAAAAAAAATGATTCTACCTTATAATGTTTCTAAGACATTGTGTGAATGGTTCTTAAAATTATTGAAAAAAAATGGATGGGCTGGTGAAGTAATTCTGCCTTTGGATCTAAGGATGGAGAAAGGAATTGTAATGGAGGGAGACAGATAAACCAGCTCTGTGGACAGATCTCTGGAAAGACACTGATGTGGATACAGAAAATTGACACAGGACCAACGTGGAAGCAGGAATGCGTGGGAGAAACAGACTCCTTGGTTCACATCACTCCTGAAAATAAATTTGAGGCTCGCGAGGAGCCCAGACGTGAGAAAGCCACACCACACCTGTTCCCGGAAAGTCAGACCATCTTTAGCCCTTTTGGGGGGAGGTGAAAGATTTCTTAAATATTCAGAGATCAACACACCTTCAGGAGAAAAGGGACAAACTCAACAACACGAAGATGGAAAGGAGCATTTTATGCAACAAAATAAAGCAACGGGAAATTCAAGCCACCGTCTTCGAGGCTCTTTGCGTGGAAATCACTGACAGAGGGGAGAGTAATGATTAAAAAAAGAATAACCTCTCAATTTTTCTTTTTTTAAACAAAGGCGAGGGAAAGGCAATTCATAGGAGAGCAAATGGAGTTGCTAAGACACAGAGGACAAGATGGCCGTTCCTACTAATCAGAACATTGTATCTTTTTTAAAAAACGTTTTTGCTGTTGCTTTGTTCTTGTTTTTGGAGGGAAGTCAATTAGGATTTTTTTTTTATTTTAATGGAGGGACTGGGGATGGAACCCAGGACCTCGTGCCTGCTAAGCACGCGCTCTACCACCGAGCTACACCCTCCCCTTGCAGAGCACTGTATCTTAAAGCCAAATGACACCTGCATGACTCCAACTCTTAAGATGCCTACGAATCCCGCAGATTGGTGGTGACGTGGATTGGCAGCCCTTATAGACAGACCATCATTTTGGAGAGCGATCTGCCAATGCTCTAAGACGCTGAAGATGAGTTTTTTTTTCCTGAAGGTCTAATACTTTCTTTTCTAGAAAACTCTATGTATAAACAGAGACATATGTCTCCCTTGCTCACTGGTTCCAGGGGTGAGAAACCAGAACTCCTCAAGTGTCTGCTAATTTAAAAACAGATTAATAAATGAACGAATGGCACAGATGTTATCACGGATAAATGTTATACGTGAGATGCGCAGTGAAAAAGTCCACAGGCGTATGATACCCTTTGTGTACAGGGTGAAAAGAAACATCTCAATGTTGGGTATTCCGTATAAACACCTGCTAAGCTAGAAGGACCCTGAAGACGTGACTGTGGGTAACAAATGCCTCAGTCAGGGTGTGGGGACTTCTGTGAGGGCACCAGGCGTGTGGTTGAGCCTTATCGAGTGTTGGTGGGGTCACCGTGACAAAGACCTCCCTCCTTTGAGACTTCCCCATTTCCCAGAGGTCCCGTGACTCACCTCGGGGGCCAGCCCCCAGAGCTGCTCCTCTCCCACGAGGGGCTCTTTGGGGGCCCCAGTTCTGGGGTTCCGGCCAGGTCCTGGTCACTGCAGTCCTCCTGGTCTGTGGTCCACTTGTCTCTGGACTTCGTGCTGTCATGTTGGGAATCCAGGGAGATGCCGTCCGAGGGGGAACTCATCACTCCTGAGTCCTCGGTCGTGTCCTCAGATGCAAAACAGCTGCCCACAGACACTGTCTCCTCGGCCTCGGGGGGCACAGGCGGGACCCCGTCCACGCTGCAGGGGCTGCCGGGCCCCAGGGGCAGGCTCACTGGACGAGACACGGCAACGCCAGGTTACCCAATGCCTGGATCCCACACCACCTGACTCACCTGCCATCTGCAGTGCGGGGTGCTGGGGAGGACCCACCCGCACACAACACTGGAAACACTTCAACTGTGTGACTGGGAGCCAAACTCCCCTCTCCGCCCAGATCAGCATCTTTTGAATTAACCTTTTGAATTTTTATCTTCTGTGTGATCAAGGGCAAACATATGAAAAAATTCAGACTAATGACATGATGAATACTGTTATTTGTAGTCTGACCATAGGTTTAATAGGAGTTGATTTAGAATGAGTTCTCTAAAAAAAATTAAGAGGGCTTTAAAATATAAACAAACTTAGAAATAAATGATATTGTTTGGGAGCATCTAATAAATCTTCTCTAGGAACTTTTGTGATTTGGTTTAAAATATTAATGACAGTCTCCATCAGCAACTGGCTCTCCCGTTATTTGTTACACGTGAGACAGCAAGATCTGGTTTAAATAAGAGATGATCTTACTGGATAAAGAAACTGTGGTATATTTATACAATGGAATACTACTCAGCCATAAAAAGGAATAAAATAATGCCATTTGCTGCAACATGGATGGACCTGGAGATTGTCATTCTAAGTGAAGTCAGTCAGAAAGAGAAAGAAAAATACCATATGAGATCACTTATATGTGGAATCTAAAAAAAAAAAGACACAAATGAACTAATTTACAAAACAGAAACAGACTCACAGACATAGAAAACAAATTGATGGTTACTGGGGGGAGAGTGGATGGGAAAGGATAAACTGGGAGTTCGAGATTTGCATATATTAACTATTACATATAAAACAGATACACAGTAAGTTCATATTCAATATTCAATATCTTGTAGTCACCTATAATGAAAAAGAATCTGAAAAGGGATATTTGTATGTATATGTGTGACCGAACTATTATGCTGTACACCAGAAATGGACACAACATTGTCAATTAACGATGTTTCAATGAATCAAAAAAAGAGAGGGAGAGAGAATCTTAGAAGAGAACCCTCAAATAAAATTTAAAAGAATCAGAAGAAACGTGTCCTGGGGGTAGGTTACCTGGCCCCTGAGCCCCAGACGTGACTCAGGGCAGCAGAAGGGATAGGATGCAGAGAGGGGACACTCATGGTAGAAGCCTGAGTTCCATCTCATCTTAACAGTGGCATGCGGGGCCTCGGACACGTCTATCCCGCTGTTCGCAGGGACAGAGAGCATCCTTCTCTTACTGAGCTGCGAGGTCCTCGAAGAACTTAAGAGCACGGAGGAAAACCTCTCACTAGTTTTGAGATGGAGGGACAGGAGTACACAATTCTGGACCCGCTCTAGCCCAGAGGCTCTTTTTTTTTTTAAATTGAATGTAGATATAGATTTCAAACGTCAAGACATCTCAAGACATAGGATCTAAGCGCTGTTTATGACGGTCCAGGAAACAAGGCCTGTGTTGCGCTGTAGTTTCAATGTGTTGTGTTTTACAATCGTTCCTTCAACGCCTCCAATGAATAAAGGCCACGGGCAAGCCGGGTGCCAGCTCCAGAGAGTCGTGCACTGACAGTCACGTGACATTGTCATCGCCCTCAACATCGCAACATTTTAACTAGACAGCAGGCTGGAGACACAGAATTAAGGAAGCCAAAAGAACCCCAAGGAGAAAAAATTCCTTCGGGTCGGTCTTGGTTTCCTTGAGATCCCAAACCACAAAAATGAACAAAACGAAACAAACAAACACAAAACCCAGACATCTCACAGAGAAGCTCACAAGTAAAGATCAGAAACAAGGGAGAGATTGTTCAGAGAAGCAGGTGCCCAAGGCAGTGTGTCTGAATGCAGCGAACGCTTTCCAACAATGGCCTCTTTCTTCTGAGCTTCCTTCCTGGCTTTTGTGGCAAGGCTCTTCATTAGAGGGCAAAGGCGGAGAAGAAACACTGAGTCCGGATTAAGACAACCCAAACCTGTTCTGCTGCCCGGTCCACACTGCTGGTGACTCCGCCCGGGATGTCATTCCGCGGGACCCCCCTGTCGACCCCTGCCCGGCATCAGAGGCAGCCCCGACGGCCCAGTGGACTCTAGCTCCCCACCTTCTCTTTTATAACCATCACTGAGCAAGTTCAAATCCCAGCAGAGCGCTTGACAGACCGCCCGGGGCAGGTGCCTGGACCCTTCTGCCTCGAGTTCGTCTGGGAGGCGGGGTAACACCTATGGACTAAATGTGAGGTCGGTCCACATCCCGATGTCCCCCAAGGGGTGTGTGCCGGGAGGGGACACAGATCTCCCATCCGAGAGTCTCAGCTCTCTGGTGACTCGCAGTTTACGAGGGGACAGACATGTACAAAGACCGATGATGCCATAGGATAATGCCAACTCCGGGTGTGTCTGCCCAGGGAGAGAGGGGTGGGCTGGGAGCTGGAGGTCTCAGCTTGGAGTTGGTACCCATAAGTGCTCAGCCCAGCCCTGCTCCCCGCACCCCCAGATGGCCCCACTTGGAGACATTAGGACCGCCTGCAGCCCTGGAAACTCAGACAGCATCATGGTGGCGGGGGGACCCCAAGCCCTCCCCTTCAGTCCAGTTATAAGATTGAGATGGCGTGGCTGGGCTTGTTTTAGGTTCCTGAGAAGTCTTGAGGTCAAAAAAAAACAAAACCCACTTGTGAGTCACTGCTCTAAATCCAGCCAGCTGCAAACGCTTCGTCAGCAAGGTGTGAGAAGTCTGTCCCCAGTGTGAACGCACCAAAGCACTTAAAAATGCGCAGTGAAGACTGGGGGTGTCAGAGCTCCCTTCCTGCCCAGGCAAGTCCTCTGTTTCTGGTGGTACCTTCTCCGGGGCCCAGGGCTCTCCATCCTTGCCCCCCACAGACAGGTGTTCAGTGAGGGGCCAGGGCTGGTGCTCCCAGGGAGCCTGCCTGGGTGGCGTGGGGTCACAGAGGGTTGGAAGGGCAGCTGCAGACATGCCCAAGGCGGGAGGAACACGGGTGCAATGCCGCCTGCAACCGGGGTGGGTTAAGTACCAGGGAGGACCGGAGGGAGGGAGGGAGGCTGGAAGGATGCTGCTTGGCCCAGAGTACAGGGCGGGTCTGCAAGCCAGAAAGAGGGAGGGGCTTGTGCAAGAGCTTGGGACTCTTGTGAACCCCTCCTGGAAACTCCTTGAGGGGAGCGGTCAGAGACGGCTCTGATTTGAAGAGGGGGACGGACATTCCCGTGAGGCTCTGAACCTGGGTTGGTTTTAGTTTTCAGGTGGTTTCTGGTCCTGTCAGCTCTGTGAGTCTGAGAAGCTTTTGTTTGGAATTGGACATCCTCATCTAACCCCCTTAAGACGTCTTCTCCTTTCGACCGGTTCCTACGATTAACCTCGTGAGCTATAACGTGGTTTGCCCGTTTCTTCATGAGATGATGGAGCAGGATACTGTTTTGTCTTTACTGATTCCAAACAGAAGCCCCAAATACAAAAGGAAGGCTTGGAAACGCTTGGACTCAGGTCCTGTCTTGCATGTGCTTCTGTGAGAACCTCACTTCTCACTGCTCTCCTGCCGGCACCACCCGGCTCCCTGGCCCAGAGGCTCTATCTCACTTTTTGCCTCTGAAACGGCTTACTTGCCCCCAAAATTCTATACGTTCCCTGAGCTCACTTATGATTGCTTATTACTCTCACCTCTGATTGGTCCACTTCCCTAACTTCTGATTGGTCCATTTGTAGTACTTCATTTGCATGGAGCTCACTCCTGATTGGTTATTTCTCTCACTCATGATTGGTCCATTCCCCTCACTCCTGATTGGTTATTTCTCTCACTTAAGGTTCTCTCCATTAGCAACCTTTTTGAACTACAAAGTTGTTATTGCAGACTTTTTGCCAACGTGGAAAAACACACTTAACGTGGCTTCAGTGGATGCCAATTATAAATAAATTCATGATTAAATTCTCTTCTAAGTAAATGGCCACAGAGCCTAAGTCAGGAATGTTAACGTTTCCATCACCCTCCACCTGAATGACATAATCCCACAGTTCAAATGCCACTACGGCAGAATAAGAGCTTTGGAAAATTCTCTGGCTCAAGGGTAAAGCAGAAAAGGCTGACTTAAGGCTACTAATTCCTCAAGTTGACAACAACCATTTCCGTTTGGCCTCTGGTTCCATTGGGTTTTATCAGTAAACCCATAGTCAGCATCACACTTAATGGCTGAGACCATCTCCTCTAAGATAAGGAACAAGACAAAGATGCCCACTCTTGTCACTTACAATCAACATAGCATTGGAAGTTGTAGTCACAACAATTAGGCAAGAAAAAAAAAGGCATCCAATTTGGAAACAAAAGAGTAAAATTATCACTCTTTGTAGCTGACATGATACTATACATAGAAAACCCTAAAGACATCAAAAAAATCTACTAGAAATAATAAATGAATTCAATAAAGTTGCAGGATACACAGTTAATGTCTGGAAATCTGTTGTATTTCTATACACTAAAAATGAACTTTCAGAAAGAGAAATTAAGAAAACAATTCGACTTACAAATGCATGACAAAGAATAAAATACTTAGGGATAACATCTAACCAAGGTAAAAGACTTGTGCTCTGAAAACTGTAAGATATTGGGCAAAGAAACTGAAAAACACACACACAAATGGAAAGAGATACTGTGTCCATGAATTGAAAGAATCAGTATTGTTAAAATGACCAGAGGACCCTAACAATGTACAGATTCAGTGGAATCTCTATCTAATACCAATGGCATTTTCACAGAAGCAGAACAAATCATTCTGAAATTTGTGTGGAAACAGACAAAAACTCTGAATAGCCAAAGCCATCCTGAGGAAGGACAAAATTGGAGGCACCATTCTCCTTGACTTCAGACTATACTACAGAGCTACAATGATCAAAACAGACACACAGATCCATGGAACAGAACCCAGAAATAAACCCATGATTACGTGGTCAAGAATATACAATGGGGGAAAGACGTTCTCTTCAGTAAATGGTGCTGG